GCGGTATATAGAGTATGAGTCTGGCTTTTTGCCCTAAATTACTCAAATTGATATTTTGATTATATTTTCATATTGAGACGGACATCTTGTACTTGCGACTGATTAAGATCTCTCTCAATTAGGCTCCAAAATAACGGAAGTGTTTGTGTTTGTCCTTCTTTTCACAATACTGTGAAAATATAACATGATGTGTTTTCCTAATATTGCCAGCCCTCATTGATCTTATTAATCTAAAATTCAATTTATCTGTGTCTTCACTGTGAAGACACAGCACCTGAGGACAAAAATATTTGTCATTAGATGTTTTCCTGACAACATTTTACTACTCAGTATAAACCATTTTTCACACCTGTTTGGCACTTTACAGCTATGACACGCACACAGCAAATACAGCGAAGTGTCATGGTGGAACAAGTGTGGTTACACCAGTGTGTTGCATGCAGAGCCATATTTAGATCAAATCATTATTAAACCATAAACCACCATCATTTCATACTCATACCAACTGTAAACAAATAGCTGCCAGTCTGTAAAGCTGCTGAAAAACAAACCTGATCAAATTATTATCGTTATTTCTTCTACTAGGCCTTTGAAATCTCTTAAGCTGAACTTGAATCTTTTGGGTTGTCTGTCATTTTGTTTTCGTGCAGGTGTTAAACTCTGGACCCAGCAAGGCGTTGAACACCGTGGTTCAGATTGCGCTGCCAAAAATCCTGGCGCCGTACCCACACAGACTGCTTCAGCTCATCGACTGGAAGGTAAAAACAGCATTAGGATCCAAGTTTCTATCACCCCTAATGCCGAGGAAAGCTAGACGATTGTTAGCTGTACCTAGCGGTAGCACTAGTAGACACTATGTGTTTACGACATTTTGGAAAGGATCTTCCATAATAACGTAATTTTTTGCCTCTTTCTTCAGTCATCACATGGTTCGTGCTCAATAAGTGACAAAACGATTTCAGTCAATGAGGATTGCAACGTTCCTCAGGCTTCATTCATCAAACAGATAATTTTCTTCTTCTCTCCCACCACCACCCGCACAATGGTAAGACGATCTTTTTCTTCTCAGAAATATGTGATATACATAGCAGCTCATCAGCCAAGGTTACATGAATGTTTAAATGTTAAAGTCACGGTGGCCCCAAAGAAAACGGCAGGTCATAAATAAAGTAGGATTAGAAATGCATCAATCAGAATTTGAGGAGCTGCTTATCTACTGATTTCAGGTGACTCAAATATCTTTTTAGCAGCTATGATATCTGATTATATTAATTTTTTCAACTTTTTCAAATCAGACTTTAAACTACCTTTCCAATGTTAAAAATTGGAAATCATTTGTGACCATCAATTTATGTAAAAAATTAAAAACTTGTAAAGCAAAACAGAATATTTCTACATTTTTATTTTTAAAGTATTACTGACATATTTCTGTATTTTTCTCCCTTGTAGCCTGAGTGAACCACAGACATGTTGCAAAATACAGGTTCCTCTTAACCTTTTGTGCCTCCCCTGACATCTATTTTAAACGTTTCACTAATAATGAGAACATTGAGTCTTCCCCTAGTATCAGCATAAACAGTGAAAGGTGTTTGTGAATTACTTAGTCGTGAATTACTGCTCCCCTATGCAGATGACAAACTGACTTTCATTGGTAAAACTATTTCACATGTGTGTTTGTGTAGTTCTGTGGCCGCGTCGATAATCTGTGTGAGCAGCTGGTGTGTCGTCTTGGTAACCTGGATGCGGGCAGAGATGCTACCATCCAGCTGGAGATCAGCCTGAATCCTGCTGTGCTGCTGCAAGCACCGGTAACCAGTTCAGATGATCTTACTATATAAGTTCAATGTTTCCTTCTTTTCTTTTTGTTTTATGAAGTAACTGCAGACTATTTGCTTATTCCAACAGCAGACCAACATGTGGTTAAACTGACATTCATTAATTTAGGGATGTTTAATTGTGCCTCAAGACCTTTAAACATGAAAGATATACTTAATTAAAAAGTATTAGTTTGTGAAAATAATTATTGCATATGCTGCAAAACACAAAATCTTACTAAGTATTTTTTATCCAGTTTCTAGTGCAAATACATAAGTGCACTTGAAATAAGTCAAAACTAACTTACAAGTAATGTTTCAGCAAGATATACAAGCTTGTTTTACGTCAGTAAGTCCTTAAAATTGATGAAAAAGGTCTAGTTATAAGTGTAACAATCTATCTTTATTTTATCAATCAAAACAAGGAATTATTAACTTTAAACAAGCTCATATTTCCTGCTGAAAGGTTTTGTCTTATTTCAAGTGAACTAAGATATTTGCGCTGGACCAGAAATATTTGGCAAGATTTAATGTTTTTGCTGCATATCTGCAAAAACTGAACTAAACTGCTTTGGTTTAATCAGTTTCTGCTGATATATCAGCAGGCTGCTCTCCTTGTTACAAATAAACGCTGCTTTCTATCTCAGGGCCGTCATCATGTTATGATGTTGGAGAGCACAGCAACTGTGTTGTCGCCCAGAGAAGATGCTCACACTGTCCTAATCAAGGATCAACCTGCACTGGTAAAATACCTGAAAACCATAGACCCGAGTCCAATGCTGAATACTGTGTGTCTATATAAACAAGGCTTTGTTAAGGCGCTGCATTTTTTCCCAAATCCTTTAACAACAGGTCAGGTTGTTAAAAAGTGTTAATAATTTCCAGGTGGTGGTGGAAGCTGTTTTTTCCCAGAAACCCTCAATGGCTGTGAAGATTTTCATCATCGCCGTCAGTTTAGTTTTAGGACTGACCATCTTGACCGCTCTCATCTGGTGTTTGTGGAAGGTAACTGGCTCATTTTAAACACCCAGTATAGATTTTTAATGAGGAAACATATATTTACAGTGTTTGCTGTTATTTTAAGGGTATACAATCTCTTAAAATTCTGCATAACAAAGTAAAAACTAATAGGGACCATTTGTTTTAAATCTTTATTCCCTGTCTGATTTACAGTGTGGCTTCTTTAAGAGGAACTTCAAGAAGCAGGAGGAGTTAAACAGAGACAGCTGGGACTATGTTCCCAAACTTAACAAGAGGGAGAGCTCTATTTAAACTCATCTGCTGCCTCTCGCTGTGACGTTGGGGCATCAGCAGCGACGTCACAAAGTTCACACCAAAGCTGTGCAGAAACTTTGCAGCCATGACGGATGAGGATGAAAGCATCCTGAAAGCACCTGAACCGATAAACCAAATGTGCCTTCACAAAGGAGAGACTGAGGAAGACCGCAGCGATGGATGGATGGATGGATGGATGGATGGATGGATGGATGGATGGATGGATGGATGGATGGATGGATGGATGGATGGATGGATGGAACAGCTTCCTGTGTTGTGGACGAACACTGAAGAAGAACCAAACCAAGTGACTTTCTGAAGATCTCAGGGGATTGGAGACCTTGCTCCTGATTGGTTCATACCTTTGGAATAAAGTTCCTTCATTTTGTTTACCTGCTGGTCAGCAGAGACGGAGCACGGACTCACTGGTTGCGTCATCCAACAGCTGCAGTCGACACTGGACTGCAGCGGGCTGCAGGAGTATGCAGGAAAAGGGAAGCAACACAAATTTTGTGTTCTGAAAGCGGGACACAGATAAAAAAAATGCTGGGAAATGGGATACAATGCTGCTTCTTCTTTTTTTATTTTTGCTGTTTTCCCTTTTGTCACTGGTATGCTTGCATCTGCTCCTTTGGCAGAATTTTGTGGCACGTCTAGATAACGAAGTAAATCCACATACTTTCATTGTTCACCTAGGAAAAAAGTTGTCTTGGCAATGCCGACAACCAACCAAGTAAAGCATCCTGTCTCTCAGATGTGTTGGGGGAAAAAAAAATCAGCATTAAAGAAAATACTTCTGGGTCTTTTGCTACCTGTGAGGATAAACTCACAGGTAGCAAAAATGAAACAGATGCAGGTATTTTGTAAGATGGTGCTAAGAGATCACAGGAGTTCAATGTCTTATGAAGCCTTTATTAGAAACAATTATGAGCTAGCCATATGACAAAATATTTTATTAATTTAACTTAATTTATATAATATTTTACAAGTTACAATGTGTTGAAATGAAATTAAAATGCATAATGAAAACGCTGAAAATTATTAAAATGAAACTCCACCGACTTTGCCAAAGAAATAAATGACATTTACTTGAAAGAGGCTTTTAGAAAAGTAAAATGTATCAGATCATTATTTTAACTTCCTGTATTCTGTGAATGCAAAGTGTTGAAACAACTTCATCCATTGTCTTTTACAAGTCATAGAAATACACATCATGCAAGTGTTTGAATGTTTTATTACATTTTTATTTTTTATGAAAGTTTGTTCTGCACTGGAGCGTCTCACTGCTTTTATCAATACTCCCCTATTAAAATAAAGGATTTTTTTTTTATTTAAACATTTGTTCTTTTTTATTATTATTATGACCACAGAATAATGTGGAAAAAAAACAAAACAAAAATCTTGAGAAATATTCACTTATAAAACTTTTGGATCAGTAAAAATGAGGTAAAAATGTGAGTAATTTCAACGCAAACACCGTCTGTGTTGTGTAGAAAGCAACATTAACACAGAATGTGGAGTTTTTAAAACAAATGAGACTTGTAAACATTAATTTAAATGTAAAAGAATGGTTATTAGCCACTTTTATAATAAGTCACATATTAACTTCAGAGATGAGCTGCTGCTGTAGATGCCCACTGTTAGGTACGGTGGAGGATGTGTGATGATATGGGTCTATTTCTGTAAATCTCTTAGCCAGACAATTAGCTGACAAACAATTTTTGTCACTTTATATCACAGTAACATTGGCAGTAAGAACCGTTATCTAGGAATCGTCTGTGGGACTGGTTACCATGGTGACAGAAGCTGGCGCTTCCTGTCGCTCTCAGATGCAGCTGCAGGTGACGGTTGACTCTGCCTCATTTACCTCCTCCCCATACAGAGTGATGAGTCTCGGATGAACCCTAAACACAAACAGCGATTACGAGGCATTCTACAAAAAAGGGGGCAATTCAGTAAAGCAACCTAAAATCTTTTACATGGCATCAGTCTGTTGATTTTTAATTCTCAAGATAGTTTTTTAAAGATGTTTTCAGTTTGAAGAATAACTGTATTAAATGCTGCTCAAAGGTTGCTTGTATTTATTTATTTGGTTAGTTAATTTTAACTGTGTCTAGCCGAATAGCAATAGGAAGAAACCTAACAAATTTACTTTACAAATGGAGCATTAAAGTTCTCTCTGTTCTTTACTTAAAAAAAAAAAACATAATTAGAAATTGTTGTGGTTTCATTTAAATCAAAATAGACATGATGGAAAAGCAACGGAGAAGAGAAAAAAGAAAGGAAGAGAGTTGAGGAAGATATAGGATCTAGATAATAGACCCAGGAAGTCTGCTTCTACACCGACAGGAAGAGAGAAAAAAAAGGCAACTGAGAATCGCAGTGACAAATAACACAACAGCAACAATGCCACTTAAAAGAACCCAGTACAAATTAATAACAATGTATATTCAGTGGCAACTACAACCCAAGATAGTGTGTCTGCAAGCACCAGAGAGCGTACTGAGTGGAAAGCTGCTCATATTTATGACAGGATTTTTTTTTTATTTGACCTTATATGGATGAAGAGTACTAATATGGGTGCTTGAGGATAAAAGACTTTAGAAAAGAGTGATTACTCCAAAAGGCAATAAAGGAAGAGAAACAGCATGTCTGACTGTCTTCTCAGCACAAAAACACATGTGCATGGTAACCCAGGAACCCAACTCAGCAGCTTGTGGAACCTCTTTATAGATGCTGGAAGGGAGACTTAATGCAAACTGACTTCATCTAGCAGATTTAGAGAAACTATATCAAAAGTGAGGAAATAAACAGTAAAATTTTTTGCCCAAGTTGGTTCTTTGTTGTCTTTTTACAAATCTGCTTTACATTCAGAATTACTTAAAACTGGCCAGCTTTAGTCGTGGTTGATTGTTTTAAGGTGTGAGTGAAAGTTTTTTTTTTTTTTTTTTGCTGAAGCAGATGCATTTAAAGAATCTTTCTATACTCCCACGAATAAAAAAGACGGTGTTTTGGGTGAACTGACCTTATTTGACATAACAGCGATTATCAAATAAATCCAAGGAATCACTGGTGATTTGGGTTTTAGTCCTGAAACACAGATAGTCCCACCTGATGAGCACTTCATTGGCGATCTCCACCAGCTCTCCGTCGATGTTCCAGGGCAGAGCGGCTCGCTCTGATTGGATGATGGGTGTATTTTTGGAGTCTCCCTCGTCTTCGCTCTCCTCCTCAGACCAGCCAATCAGTGATCGGGGTCGAATCCTCACCGCCGACACGGAGTGCGTCTCCACGAAGGGGAAGCTAAACTGTAGAAAGACAATCAGGACGTCACCGTGGACGTATGTGTGTCTAAGCTAAGCTGGTGAAGACTGTGGATCTTTGTAAATCTGTGTTAAGCAGCTTGTTCTGGTGCGTCGGGTTCCTTTCCTATTTACTGTCCTCTGTTGTGATAACACAAGGCGCCAGTGGGGGGCAGCAGAGACTAGCATTGTGACGATCCATATGCGTGCAGGTGTTTCTTGGGAGGATTTCTCTCTTTGTCTTTTCCGTTTGATTTGCAAATAACCACTAGAAAGTGTCATATAAGCAAGCAGTCACTTTGTCTTTTTTTGTGGTTTGTTTAGATGTTGTTGTTGTTTGTTTTTTTTTACCTCAAAGTAGCTTGAAATTCAATTTAACATCAAAAAATTATAATCTATGACAAAACAACTTGTTTCTCAACTAGACCGACGGCTCCATTTTGTTTGTCGCAATTTTCAATTATTTGGAATGACTGTGGCTTTAAAATAATTACAATTATTCACATCAATTTTTTTTTAAGTGGCCTGTATATGGTTTATATCCTCTTGCAACTTTGTGTTTTATCTCTCAAAGTGCATGATTTACAGACATTAGTTTTAAATGTCGGGTATGTTGTTTCATTGCTGAAAAGACTGATGAGAACAGAATACAATAATGTTTTGGGAGGACATTATTCTGAAATGTACACACTTGGTTGGTATATATATATTTTTTTTTTTTATATGTAATTTTTTTTTTTATGATACAGCTCTGGGAACCTTAAGAGGAAACAGCCCAATAGTGAGAAAGTCCCGCTTAAGCATAAAAACATTTGACCTCTTACAGCAGAAACAAACTTTAACCGATGGGATTGGGTTTCGATGTTCAAATCTTCCCAGTCAGTCAGAACCTGACGTCGTCGCTGAACTTGATGTCTTCTATATTTACATGGTAGCTAACCGAATGTAGGTCACTCAGTTCAATGTGCTTTTCCCTTTTGCTGGACAGTCACCGTCAGTCACACTGTCAGTATATTTAGAAAGTGGGTTAACGTTTAGTCTCTCAAGCCACAGCAAGCCATGCTAAATCAGGCTAATCTGCATGATAACTATTTTGTTTCCCTTAGAAAGAGGTGGAGTTTTAAGAAGACGAGGTCACAAGCTGATGAAAATCCCATCAAGGTGCTCCTGACTGCGTCCCGCTGGTGTTTATTACTGCTGGTTTAAACAACAACACTTCTCATCATTAGACTGTAAAATAGGAAAAAATGGACGAAATGCAGATGTCTGATTTCAGAAAAAGAAAGACCAGAAGGCATATTAGGAATACGGATACTTATAAATGGTAGAGGATTCATAAAAAGAAATTACGATCTCACCATATGGCTCAATAATAGTGGTTAATATGTTTAGTATTCATACTGTTTCTGATTTGTGATGGAGTTGGTATGCCGTGAAATGTGACTGACAACTTTTCTGCTTGTCACTAACCTCAAAATCTAAACATAAAAACATTTAGATTAGGCATTAAGACTTTCTAACTGATGCTGTTTAAAATCAGATGTAAAAGCCTAAATCTAAGATTCAAAACAATATTTTAAAAGACACACTAACATTACAATGCAGCAATGTAGAATTAATCCTTAGCATAAGTTGCTCTGATAGTTGATGCTACTTCATTGTTCCTCTCACCTGTCCACTAGAGCTGCTGTACTGCTTGAGGTGCTTGATGAACTCTGACCTGGAAGCATTACCTACTGCGATCAGTGAGGCGCTGCCATTGTCTAAACTGTCACAAACAGGAAGTTTAGAGAGAGTTATCAGAGAGTTAGGTATTATAAAACTGAGAGCTTAAGGTATACCTGGTGTTTGGAGCCAATCCCTGGGGCGCGTGTGGGCTCAGACAGGGGATAGACATGACGCTGATGCTGAGGTACAAACCCTGATTGGTCATCCAAGACTCCTCTGCTTCAACACAGACCAATCAGAGCGAGCCAAAGTAAAGCCGGGTTTGTTAACAGAGGTAGGAAATTAAACCCGCTCAGGTCTCAGTTCACATTTGCAAATTGCTGTCCTCACCTGACTCTGTGTCCAGTTCTTTGTCTTCGCCCTGGTCTCTAGAAAATGGACGAGGGAGGGTGTATTTAAAAAAGGTGTGTTCACAGACATATATATATATATATATATATATATATATATATATATAAAAGAAAGGAGGAGAAACAACAATTAAACCAGTTATGTAGACATTGTTCTAGTTTTGAACATAAACTTCACAAATACAAGGAATACAAGTAGATGTTTAACCTTTACTGTTCAGATCTGCAAAAAAATAAAACAGTTTCATAAACCCCCCTCAATAACCAGAGACACATTTTAATATTCTGTATCTTGTATAAATAAACTCCCGAAAAAATAACAGTAAGGAAGTGTTTCTTTTATCAATTTAGTCTATTTCATCCAGTTTTAACTGGGTGATCAAAATGGTATTTACATTTTTTATCAATTAGATATTTTCTTGCACCAATGAATAAGGAGGTAAACTGTGAAATGAAGTCATGGTTGAAACAGAGTTTGACTGCTGTTTCAGTGTAGGCACTATGCAAGACAAAACGCATCACATCATAAGTGTAAAACATCGCCCTCTAGTGGTGACAGTTTCCTTTTATTATTGGAAAAACTAAATGTGCCACATTAAGCAAACTATTGCTGATAGGAATAAAGCAATTACATAAAAAAAAAAAATAAAATAAAAAAAAAAAAAATAATAATAATAAATAGCATTAAATAAATAACAGACTAAATAACTTACAGAGAAAAATGATTTAATCCAGTAATGTTAACATTTTACTATTTCTCTATTCTCTATTCCCCTTAAAACCATTAAGAAAATCTATGAATGCGTCTTACTGTTGTCCAAACAAACTGCTTTCTGAGCTTTTTGCAGGTAAAAATGACAGCTGGCAGTCCTCTGGCCTGATGGAGACAAACAGAAAAAGAAACACTTCATTTTCAGCTCACCATAACGAAAATCAACTTAATTTGACTCATTTATGATGTAAAACAGGACCATGAAAAATACATGTTCAAATAGTATCGTCACTTATACTGACTGCCATCCTTTCCTCTTATGAAGTAAAACATTTAAATGACTAAAAGGAAAGAAAATGCGTCACCTCAGCCTGGCCAAGGTCTTCACCACGGCATATTCTCGTCGCCGTGACGATGACATCCACCTCTTCTTTTCTGCCCTCGCTAAGCTCTGGCCGCCAAAACCAAACATGGCAGAGAACCCGAAACGCACCAGCTGACCGCTGGACGAGAAGCTGCACATGTCCACCTGCTGCAGGTGACCTGAACACAGACAGGAGAGACATTCAGACAGGCAGCACTTCCAAGAAATCGCTGATCTGTCATTTTGTTGCCTTTTCTTCTCAGCGTAATCAAAAAGAATTTAAAAAACAAAAAAAAAAAAAAAAAAAAAAAAAAGGAAGACCAAATTGAACAGAAAAGCACCTTGGAAAAGTAAACACACCAGCTGAACGTCTGACAGATTATTACCACAGAATTAAGCGTTTTCATTGGGGAGATTATGTGAGAGACAAAATAGGAACGTTTTTTGGGAGGTAAATATCCACCAGCTTCGTATGTGCATACACTGAAGTTGTTGCCCATTTTTGTTAGCAGAAAATTCAGTCAGATTCTCAGTTGAATTCTGGTCTATCCCATGAACATACTGCGATCTAAACCGTTCCACAGTAGCTGTGTTGGATCGCTGTCCTGCTGAAAGGTGAACCTCCTGCAGCCTCAAGCCTTTCATCGCCTCAGCAGGGTTTGTTTTTTTTTTCTCCAAAGTTGTCATCTGTGTAGCTCCATCCATCCTGCTCTCATCAGCTCCTCTGTTCCTGAATGGGACCCACACAGCACTACTCTGTCTCCACCGTGCTTCCCTGTGGCGATGCCTCTCTCCAGTCCCTCCAGCATGGACCTATTGGCTGAGTTTGCCTGAATAACAATGTATTAATACATTTATTGTAATGTTCTCTACGAAACCTCTGAAGCCTTCACAGAACAGCTGGATTAATACTGAGATTAAATCCCACACAGTTGCAGTCTGTAATTATCAAATAAATAATTAAATGGCATTCGAATGTCATCGGTTGCAACTGATTTCATTTATAGTCGACTACAAACATACAACAAAGCTTTTCAGATTTTAAAATCCGGTTTGTCCTCTAAATTGCTTTACAGAATGATGTTATATTTATAGTCTAACGTTGTCCCAGAATTTATTGAAATTTGACGTTGCCACCAGTTCACAGCAAAAAGAACTACAATAGCAGGAGCCATGTTTAAATATAGCTGCGAGGAAGCAATGGCCACTAATAGTGACCTCAAACAAGAACGCCTTCTGGTCTCACTTCGTTCCTGGAATGGTTCCATGCGTGGAGAGACCCAGATAAAATGCTCTAACACAGAACCTCGCTCATGATTTCCTCTCCGACGACCTCAGGAGGCAAAAAAAAAAAAAAACAACCCACAAAGCAAATGGAGTAAGAAGAATCTCATTTAATATGAACTCATAAACACGTCCTTTTGAGAAAATGCTCGATTAACCTCCAGATGGGTGTACACAATTTGTCACACACACTCGGTACCAAACACAAACACGGAGCGTGCCATCTGGCCACATACCTGCTGTAACCTACTGAACTGCAGTCTCCTCACCTGTCTGTCCTACCGCCTGTCTGTCTGTCTGTCTGTCTGTCTGTCTGTCTGTCTGCCTGTCTCTCTGGCTGAATCTGATTTCCTCACCATATGGCTTGTTGTCAGTGTGTTAGTGGAGCTCCATGTGTTGAGCGGGATTAAAGCTGACACGGTCAGTGTGTCACCGAGATCAAGCCTACAGCTAATTTTAAAGGCTTGTCTAATATTTATAAGCAATGTAAACAAGGGAGGGGGAAAAAAATAATAAAAATCTGGAATGTTCTTTTTCTTAACCTTAAACATTTCCATCCGTCGTCATAATGTTTAGGTCTGCATTATAGATTTTTATGAGCAAGTGATCAGGCGGGCATGCAGAAAACGACAAGTGTTAATATTATCTTATACATTCACATTTTATTAATATTAATGTTCTCTTTATGAGTTCTTTCAAAAGCCCAGAAAAAACAGGCTTGACATGAATCTATTCATTTTCCAAAGCTGCTTCGTCTTGTTTCGGGTCACAGGGGGCGTGGTGCGTATCTCCAGTGAAAGGCCAGACAAACTGTATTGGTTGCCATTTTATCACAGGGGCTTACCAAAACACACTCAACGCACACAGACACACACCCCGAGCTAAGAGTAATTTAAGTGAGAGAAATTAACTTAAGGTTTTTAAGTGTAAAAGAAGCTGGAAACTTGACACAGAAAGTCATCAGCTGGGATTTGAACTTAGGAAGTTGCAACTTCGAAACAACACTGTGAATCACTTTTTTTTTTTTTTTTTACATTTCTCCTTGCAAAATATGTTGAAACTTAATAATATTTTGAAATTATTTTCCTTTAACTGTACAATAATACAATATTTATCGTCACATAAAATTTGAATAAAATACATTGAAGATTGTGGTTGTTCTGTGACAAAAGAACATTTTTGCTTAACACCAGGCAGACATTTAGTGCCACAGCATCAAAGAGGCTAACTCAGGAAACAACTGAGCTTCATTAAGTGATGAAAGAGCTGTCCGGGAATAAGTCTTTGAGTTATTAGACAAGGTTCAGAGTGAAATAAACCAAGTTTGATGACAACAACAAAAAAACAGTGCATGAGAAGGTGATTTATCAGCAAATTATGAGTAAATTCAGATCAGATTTATGGAAATAAAAGCCTGATTCAGTTCATCTTTATGGGAAAATCATCTTGCTTTACTTTGACTGCTCTCTGTTGTTCAGATTTTACTCCTATTAGTGTCACTTAATACTCCCAGTTTCTCTCTCTCTTTTTCTCTGTCACACACACACACACAGACACACACACACACGCGAACACACACACACACACACACACACACCAGCTACCAGTATTAATTATGCATGATGAACCATCTCACCAGAAGCTGTCAAACAAAAACAACAACACGCCTTGCTTCAAACCGATTGGCCGACAGGTTTACCTGAGAGGAAATGGAGAGAGGTGAGGAGAGGTCAGTGGGGGAGGGGGGGACCACAAGCAGCAGGGAAAACCTGTGATTTAGTGAAACCGATCCGACAGTCGGACATCTGTCGTTTTCCTCCCTCCAGAGTCCAGTACCACCATCTGTCTGCATGTTTGTTGTTTTTTTTAAACTCTGGTCCCTTCGCCACTCAAATGGAACGACAGCCAATCGCATCGAAGCTCAGAAACAATAAGAGCTCCTGATTGGTTTTCACCTTGACGTTTGAACAAATTGAATTTAACAACAGATTTACTGCGGGCGGAAATCAATCCGAACGACCTGAGGATATAGACGTAAAGTAGACAGAGTGTATTTAACACAGATGTTCAAACTGGTGATGGAGAATGGAGAGAAAGCAAGCATGCTTTCTGACAATAAAGATAAATGAAGTCACGTCAATATTCATTGGGAAATATATTGCACTGATGTTTGTTGGTGATTTGTAAACAACATTCACCCTTTCGGATACATTTTTATGGGATCTTTTCTATTAAAACACACATCAAACTGTGTGCAGGAGCTGGAGAAAAAAAAAACAATCCACCTATAAAGTCTGACCTGGTCTGAGTTAGGAACAAAGGGGCCGTACCTAGAACAACGTGGAGAGCTGCTGTGACTGGATCTCTGACTCCATGGACTGAACAGGAAACCACATCTGTAGAACCTGTTGAGGCAAAAATGAAAACTCGTGAAGCTTCCCGCAGGCCCGGCTGCGTTTCTGCTGCATGAAAAGGTCTTACCGGCAGGAATGATCCCCAGTGGCAGAGCTGCTCTCACTGGGTTTTCTGGAGAATCTGCATCTAGCTGAGCTCGGAGAACCAAAGCGTGGCACAGCTCCGCCACCGATCCGTCCCCACCGACACACACCACGCTGGAGGACAGGTGAAGACACGTCTCCATCAGGACAGATGGATGCAAGAAACAACTCTACGCTCTTATTGTGAAGGTGAAGGCATTTTGTAAACCTTTAAAACTTCCTTAAACTCCAATAAAAATCTTGAAAAGTTGCGACTCTCTAATAGAAAAGGTTTTAAATATAGTTTTATTAATTCAGTTAATAGTTCAGTCAACTTTTTTAATGCTTGTATTTTGTACAAGAATGAATGATTCAATATTGTGATCAAGGTCCCTTGGTTTATATTTGTCTTCTACAAATATAAGATGACAAATTTAATATAAAAGCTGAGTGAAGCTGGAGAAGAGTTAACTTTAGCAGTGTGGTATTAGCACTATGCAGTGAGACGCTCCATCTTCATGACTGTGTTTGCAGTAAATAGGAGATAAACTGGCTCCGCCTCCTTCCCCCTCTTCCTGGGGATGGGATTACCTGAAACTCTGGTCGCCACGGTGACAGTCAGCCTAATTGGCAAATGTAGGTTTCAACCAAATCCTCACCAGTGCAGCCTCACACACACACACACACACACGCACAAACGCGGCAGCTAGCTTAGCAACGCTGAGCTAATCTTCTCTAAGCACATTAAGCTTTATGAGTGCTGAGCACAAAAGCTGCTTACACACACACCCAGACACACACACACACACTCTTATACACCCAACCACAGGTAGAGCGACAAGAGCTTCATAAAAGTTTTATATTCTTCAAGAACACAAGGTTTTGAAACAGTGTGAAGCAGTTCTTAAAGCTCACTCTGGGGCAGGTCAATGTGATTTATGTAACCTGTGTGTGTGTGTGTGTTTGTGTGTGTGTGTGCGCGTGTGTTTGTTTGCGTGTGACTGCGTGTGTGTGAGAGAGAGAAATCAGTCTGGGTCAGTGTGTTTTAGTGTCAGCCTCCCACAGTAAACCTCTGTTTGATTACACGTCTCACTTCAGTGCGTCACAAACTCATACATGTCCAACAGCTCCATCAAAGCTGCATCTTCGACTGATTTGACACGTCAGATAGTTTTTACAAGGAGAAAAAAACTACATCAAACTTTATCGTGTGAATTGTAAAGTCACCTGTAATCACTTGGTCAATTCCACACGCAATAACTCCTGGGTTATTATGTCTTAAAATAACCCAGGAGTTTTAACTAAACACGTTTTGATGTGGCCCAGTCAGAGTGCCCCATATGAACTGGGAAACGGCAAGAAAGACTTTCAACCTCAACGATCGTCACCAGAGAAACACGCAAAAAGCTGCTCAGCAGTTATAAGAAGGGATGTCGAAAGATTTCTAATTAATGAGAAGGATAATTAATACGATGCAATTTTTAGTGAAATGGGGACAAAAACAATTATTTTTTTTATCTTTTAGTTGACACACTTTTTACACTGTGTTATGGCTTATTTTTTAAATGTATGGGTCAGTTCCTATAAAAAAATAAACATCTTTATTAAATAAGAATAATTGCCAGGAGTTTGAAAAATGTTGGGCTTAATTGTAGCTAGTACAGAACTAAATGTGCACAACATTCAAACTTTAACAAGGAGATTACAAAACCCCTTGTTTTGTAATCAGTTTCAACTCACCTACATTGGAGGTGAGTTGTGAGTTTTTAAATCACTCTTTCTCAGTTTTAATGTTAGACATAATCCACTGTAACCTAATTTTGAGGATGGAAATGAAATCTACTGTCAAAATGAACGAGGGTCGATCCATATTTGACCCAGAGCTGGGTTAAATGACGTTCTTTTCATCTAAATGGTACCAATAAATATATATGGCATAAAAAAATGGTTTAGCTACCAAAATGTTTTGCATAGTCCTTCACACAAAACTATGGATGAACAAACAAGATTTCGAATGAAAAAGAAAACTTCAATTCCAAAACATGTATTTTATTTCATAAAAATCAAGAGATATGAGAAATAAAAGAGAAACAACTGACCCATCGTATTCATCCAGTTTGCATTCCTTCATCACTGAGAGAGCATGACCCTTCCTATCAGTTACTGCAGAGACGGACAGAAAGAAAGACACGTAGGGACAGACAGAGGGAGAAAAAGGAGAGGTGAGCAGATGGAGAGTCACTGAGATGGACAAAGATAAAGTGTTCATGCATGTGTGTGGTCAGATGTACATGGTTGTGTGTGCTTGATAGCTGCCAAAAGAAAAAGTGGGACAACGGATATCGTGCCATCTGCTGAGAGAAGGGAAAGAGAGAGTTGAGGAGTAGCTGTGAGAAAAGAGGAGAGGGAGATGCAAGCAGGAGAGGCGGAATCGTAGAGAAGATGATAGAGGAAAAGAAAATGAGAATAGGGAAAAAAAAAAAAAAACAGGGAAAGGAGATGAGAGGAAGTTGTGTCCCTCTGTCTTAACAGATGGACTTAGCTCCGCCTCCAGGATCAGGTTACCTAGCGACCAGAAACTGCCATTAGCTCTGACCTTTGGACCTGGACACTTAAGCGCACACACAGAGATTTCATATCATATTTTTGTTGTTGTTGTTATTTTTTTATGCCAATACAGAACAAATTCCTGTAGCAATTGAACTGATTCTTATCACAATAAAATAAACTGCTAAACTTGAATGGCCGTAAGCGTAGCAGAAAGAGATAAGCAGTGAGACGAGCCAACCTGTGATGTCAGTGCGGACGTCGGCCATCTTAAAAAGAGGAGCCACATGGTCTCTGTAGATGTGAACGGCCTCCTTCTTGTGGCTGCTCGGGTTGATAAACACCTTCACATACCTGGGCCGGGTGCTGAACCCTGCACACACACATGGATACACCCGCAGTGAGCCCCTCCATCACTGCCACCCGCGACGCGTTTGAGCAAACTCTGCAGGATCTGGTTTACAGTAAGCAAAACCGATACTGCAGAGTTAACAGCGTCCGCTCACATTTACGTACATTTATGTAAGTTGCAATCAGGGTCAATAGCTTCAAATTGTCAAGGACCAAAGATGTTTTCTTTATGCAGATTGTGTTAAAAGCAGGTTAAAAAGTTGCTCTATTAGTTTACAAAAAAAAAACCCACAGAAAAGAAACAGGTGAGGGATGTCATCAATTTATACTCAATTGTTGAAACGTGCTTCATATTTTTCAAAATCATTTCTCTAATCAAAAGCTATATGGTTATTTTAACATGACTCAATGCTTATTATCTCCGAATGAATCAGTTAAAGGGGTTTATCATTCCCATCTCTTTAGTAATATAGAACATTAACTAGAGATTAAAAAACGTTGTTCCAATTTGCTGGGCTTGATGGGTGTGCTTAAATAGATTTAGTCTCCACGTATTCAGTGCAATCTGCTTTGTGAATCGAGCGCAGATATAAAGCAAAACATTGGTAAAAAGGGAGCACACTGCATGGCTATTGGTTATAAATAATGAATTTAGTCCTAACAACCCAGAAAGAACCAGAGTCGACTCCTCAATGACGAGTTAATCACGTAGAAACTCTTACAGCTTAGACTACAGCTCCCATTTCTGGAATATGAACAAGTCTGTGTGCATGTATGTGTGTGTGGTTTTACAGGATTGTCTCCAAAATACACACATTCGCCGAGGCTCCCCCCACACTGCTCATCATTAGGCAGATTTAGAGACCGCATTATGAATCCCCATAGACTAACTTAGATCAATACACACACACCAGCTCCATTATCCAGCTCATGACTATAATCTGCTCCCACCAGGCCGTGACCTCGCCCTGTTAATGACCCCACTTGCACACACAAAGTGCACCTCCTACCATCACTCCATGGTTCTGTCCAGGTTCTCCGGAGATCTTATGAGGAGCCACCTGACACCTTCATCATATCGGACCCCCAGCAGTGCAAGAAGCCACACCCGCTGTCTTTAAGCATCCTGTCCAATATTTATTACATTTTTGTTATTGTATCTCTATTTATACGGGTCAGCCACCATATTATTTGGAGGTAAAGTAAGTATTAGATGTGTCATGGGTTTTTCTTTTAATGGGGACGAGATAAAATTCACACCAGATGTCAGCAACAAGCCAAAATTATCCACACGGCCAAAGAATATCGAAGCAAATTCGTCTGCAAATGAAGCTACTGGTACAAAATATATATAATATATTTGCAGAAATTGATGAAATTGTGGAAAAGCCTTTTCTGGTAATGACAACTTCCAGCCATCTCTTGCAGGAGACAAGTCACATGAATTACTCAGAAGTGATTATGACCCATTTATTAAAAACAAATTGTCTTTGAAACTCGAAGGTCTTGTGGGTCCTCTGTATGCACTCTGATTGTTGCTTATTTCCACAGCTTTCCAGCTGGAGAATAGTCAGGTCATTAACAGTCGAATGGCTGGGAAATTTCAACTTGTTTTATCTTCCAATTGTTATCAAGAATGTCTTGGTGAGTTCATCCATTCATTCTTTCTTCAGTTAACTAACGTATGCCATTCTTTGGCGTTATGTTTTTGGGGTGATATACAGAGTTCCTCGAAACAAGGTGTATGAAATTAATTCAAAAGAGTTCAACGTCGGGGTTTTCTGATTTGACAGCATTTCACTGAATCGTCCAGATGTTCTGCAGCCAGCTTTAAACAATGCTTTTTCTTCAACAGTGGAGTCTTATGCAGCTTGTTTTCAAAAAGACCATTTTTGAGTGAATTACTTATTTTCATAGAAAAAAAAGAAAAACAAATGTTTAAAGGTATTCCTGAAAATCTTCATGACATTCAAATTTTTGACCCATAATTTAATTTTGCAGACAAATTCTTCTTGATTAATTTCTATGTGTAGATTAATTGGATTGTTGCTGAAATCTGGTGTCAATTCATGATCTTATTGGAAATATTTAAACTGAGGAAAAGACTGACAGGTTTCAGTGTGTATTTCACCCTGCAATTTATTTTTGTTGAGATTTTTTTTTCATTATGGTTTATGAGTAAAAGGAATTGATGAAGGATAGCTGTTAAGTCTCCATTATTCAGGAGCCACAGACGAAAACAGTAAAACTGGATGAGCTAATGAGCTATTTTTATTAAAACAAAATCAGGAACTACAAAACCTCTCCTCTGCACAAATCATAATTTAGGTTTCCATCTTTACTTAGAGTCCCATCCTCAGGGGGCTGTAAAGAACTGTAATTCTCTCTCCTTGCTTTCATGAGAGCTGCCACCAACTCAATCACAGAGAGTATCAGGAGTCGATTCTGTTCAGTTCTGATGTGTTTCTCAGAAGACGTCTCTCGGTCTCGGTCAGTAGCATGTTGCTTTGGTTTTCCAAACCGTTGCCATGGTAAACAATCTCTGTGTTGTCATGGATCAGTGTTGAATTTCCGACACAGGACTTGAAGCTCAACTGCTGAACGGTGTTGACAAAAACAGAGGCTCCACCTGAGGTCACAAATAAAGGCATGAACTCAAAACACACCTCGGTTAAGCTTTACTAGGATTAAATTAATAAACCTTAACTTTATTACTTATAGAGTTTCAGTAACAGTTTGGTGCTTTATGAGCACTAAAATGTTTAGTATACCATGAATATTTTGATGTTCGGTATATAGTTCAGTATGTATTTAGCCTGTTACAATTCATAACTTTTGAACGTTTCAACTTTTTCATTAAAGCCAAGAACTTAAACTTCATTTTCTGTCATTCATGTGATTGACTATAAAGCCTGAAACAGAACCGTGACGTAGGAAGGAAAAAAATAGATGGGCTTCTGGTTTTTATGCCAAAAAAATTTTCAAAACTGTGGTATGCATTTGCATTCAGTCACACTAAGTTAAAACTTGAGGATTTTGGTTTGGACTTTTAGTATACGACTATACTTGATCTAAACCCCTCAGCTGAAGCTCTGCTGTGCTTAGGGTCACTGGTCTGCAGACGGGCAGCCTCTGCCCCAATCTGAAGTCTTTAGCTACCTCAAAATATATATATCTATATATATATATATATATATATATATATAGATATATTTTTTTTTACCAGGTTTGAAATATATTTAGAGCCTTAGATGCTCCCATCAACTCTGACGAGCTTTATTTTTTTCTCCTGAAAAAAGAAAACGTTTTCTGGCATGGTAGGAAATGTATTTCCAGTGCTAGCTTTCTGCAACACAGAGTTTTACTTGATGGACTGCATGTTATTCAGTAGTGCAGATTAAAGTAGGTAGAATTCAAATGCACATCACGCATTTCAGGTTTTTTTTATTGTAAAGAGAGCCAATGGCTTTCCCTTTCACGGTCGTGTGTCACTTTGTGTTGGTCGTTTACATAAAATCGTAACTACAAATGCATTTGAATGTGTGGTTGTGTTTTAAAACGTCATGAATATAATCACAACCTCAAAGCTACAATTTTTGAAATGTCCAAAATTACTTTGATTATTGCATCATCAATCTTTGGAAATGTTATCATACTTATCATCATACATTTTGATGCGTCGACCAACACAATGTAAACGTCCTACATGGCTGGATGGAAACAGTTTCACAAGTATTTGCTTGAGCTGTAATCGAAACATTGTGAATGAAGAAATTAATCCTAATTCTGGTATCCTGACGTGAACGTTCAGGGATGATCGGGAGAAATAGCAGGTTCACAACTGATCACAGAGGTTTTAGGTTTCAGTCCCCACCTCCTCCTGTCCATATGCTAAACACTCCATAAGCAAATGCGTCTTCTACTTAGTGTACGTGTGTGTCAGTGGGTCACACTCTGGATAAAAATACATTCAGACATCTCTTTAATATTTTCCACTCTGGTTTGCCGGCGTTATCAAAGGTTCACATTCAGATTTCTCCTTTGAAGTTGCAGTAAAACAAAGATTTTTTCCTGACAAACCAATAAAGAGAGAGCAAAGTAAAATAAGTAGGGGAGGGAGGAAGTAAACAGTCTGCTCTCATCCTGTCTCTATGGATACACAGGGCTTCACTAACAAACCAGTTAATGTGTAACACTGAGCTTGCTGTAAAGGGCCATAAAGTAATTTTGATAGACAGACATGCTTAGACTGATTTCTTATTTGTAAAAAAAAAAAAGACAAAACACAAAAAATACAATAATCAATATATGTTGCTTATATATGCTGTTCATTAAAACTTGAAAAATAAATATTTGGTTAATTGGTCATGATACAAGAAAATGATATATTTTTAGACTCATCTACCAACCATGAAAAGGATGAACTTTCAAGAAAGTCAAACTTTTTGAGAAAGAATAATATGTCCCAATTTCAATTGTATGATCAGCCATATGAGTTTATGAAACGCTTATAAAAAAAACATCCATTAATCACCATCACTTGCCAGAGGGAGCGCCAAACATCCAGGTGCTTGAAGTAGTTCAAGTTGCGAAAGAACACAATTTACAACATCACCCTAAAATGCACAACCTGTAATAAATAAATAATCCAACATGGACTTATCCATTCTAAATATGTCCTGAAATCATTTAAATAGTGAAGCAATGAATTTAAAATAGGAAAACAGAGGAAATTTAAACACTTGGCAGATGAAAAGACACTAAATGTGGATTTAAGTTCTGATAAAAAACATTTTAAGGAAATGATCAGTGATAGCTGAACCCCCCCTCTAAGTGGGTTTCTGTTACTTCAGGGCCCCATTCAGACAAAAATAAAAAGAAAAACTACTATAAAATTAAATCTAGTGCTACATCTGCACTTTGAGTAATTTAGTTCAGGGTAAGCAAACTATATGATTTTAAACTGATGAGATTTTGGTTTGATCCACCTTTCTTCTTCCATTGTTACTGCAGCTAAATTAAACTGCAATGTTCGCAAATAGCAGAAATTACAGATAGCTGTGAGACCTTCCTTGCTTAGTTTTGGACATTAGTTTTCTTAAAGTTGCACGGCGGAGCAGAAAATCCAAATAAAACCAAAGCTAAAGATCAGTAATGATAAAAGATGGCAATTTTACGTTTAGAGAAAAGCTGCATACTGGATTAAAATGTGAAGAGCATTTAAGTGATATCAGACAAATAGATTCTGTCCACTAAAATATTAAAAGTCAGTAAAAAATTGCATAGTGCGTAACTTATAGCTAACATGGTGTTAAAATATATTTCTCCACACATTATCACTGCTGGGGCTTTCTCCAGTAACACTGGACTGTAAGTCTGTTCAGCTGTTTAACAAGTGCAGTCAATTATTCCGTCGTCTGACTGCATGTATTGAAACAGTCTCTATACTGCATAAATACTTACCTTTTGTAGCTCTGACTGCCATTCAGTTTCTGCACAGCATTCTGCAGCTGCCTCACACAGCAAACGGGACAGAATGACGCTCTGGAAACAAGAAACAAGGTGCTCTCTGCTCGCCATTGTGCAACCTAATGTTCGGACCTAGAGGTTAAGAAGTGGCGACGGTGTTTGCGGCGGCGAGACTGCCCACTCTGCGGCACCAAGATCCATGCAACAATAGGCTTTTCATACTGACCTCTGGCTGGAAAATAGGCTTAATGTCCGCAGAGCAGCAGAGCGACTGACTGTGTTTACCTTTCACATCCACGCACACATGCAGAAATAGACTCCTACACTGCGGTGTTTAAAGTCACAAAGGCCGTCACAGTTTGATCTGCAGTGTGACCACTCGAGCTGACACTCGACCTGCGAGCCATTCATGAGCGTAAGTATGAGGCCCATAACGCGGCCTTGAAGAAGTTGTGACTTTGCTGCGGGGGCCTCAGGGGTAATCTGGTTTGATGGACAGACAGACGCGCAGTCAGACAGGTGACCAGCGATAACGTGTCAGGCTGATGCCATGGTGGGGGAGCGACGGTGGCCCGAGTGTCAACTTTGACCTCCTCATTTAATGATTGCTTGTAATGTCTCTGTTGGGCTCAGCATAGATGCAGAAGCAGAAAAAAAGCTGAAATGTAAAGCATGTTCCATACACACAGCACTTCAACATTTCCATTGTGAGTTAACAGTCAGCCAGGCACTGCCCACTACAGTGCACCTGGGAAATCAGCGCATGGGAAACTCAGAGTGCAGTAGCATCCAGGACTTCACTGAAAAAGCTCCTGACAAGCAGATGGCTGCCGCTGAGGAAGCTGCCTGATTTACTAATAGATTAGCTGGTACACCCTTAAGTAGGGGTGTAATGGAAAATTTTCTGTACAGTCCTTTCAGTCGGCATTCA